GTTGTAAAAATTATTTTCAAATTAACAGTTAGAAATTAATTGGAAAATTTTCACAATATGTTTTTCTTTTTTTTCTTTTTTCACAAGAAACTAATCGCTTTGAACGAATAATGCATTCTCCTCAAAGATATGTAAAAGATGGAACGTCAATTTGAATTTGCCACTAGTCGAACTAGTAAGTAAATTTATTAGTAAATTCTTCGCTATCCGTTGAAAAAAAAAAAAAAAAAACCGTTTGACGAACTTGTTAAATACATCGTAATTATCAACGAGAAACAAAGTATTTTTAAATAAATTAGCACTTAATCTCAATAAGAATCGTTCGAAAATATTATCCATAATTAGAGAATTTCTTGCAGATAATAATAATAAGCTTCAAACTCAATTGCTTAATCTTATAGAGCAATATTATCCAATTATTAGAATTTAATAAAATGTGTAAAAGAATTTGTAATGAGAACGGTGCTTGTAATAGAAATAATTAAATAAAAAGAAGAAATTTATAGGCAATCTAACTTTCTAAATGTATTAAAGTGCTTGATAATAAATATGTAATATTTTAATAAACGATTTTCAACCGTTGAATTTTCTTGAATTTTGAAGTTCGATCAACATTACTGACTGATTAGGAATAAATATATTAATAAACAGTGGATTTTACTTTTGAGCTTTAAAGTAATTCACTTTATAATAATTCACGAATATATTTTTTGTTCTGCTAGTTTGAGAAAAAGTAAATGGTTTATGAGCCAAAAACGTAATAATTATTGTTAGAAAAAGTTTAACGAATAATTTCTAAAATACTATTGCTATCTTTAAAGTACAATATTAATTGTCTTTAAATTTCCTTGTTTTTATTATTTTTTTCTCTCGGAATAATCAAAATGTCCGACCCAGAGGAAAAATTATTCGGGACCCATTTGAGAGGAGGTAAATTTTAATTACAAGCCATTGTCTCGAACGATTACATTAACATTTAGATGAGATTCTAGATATGCCGTCTCACTCGTGTTTACAAACCCGGTACGTGAAATTAGGTAATTTCTTAAGATTTTCTACGTACGATGAAGGGAGAAAATTTGTTCCTTTCAAACGGACAATTTCGAAATTCCGTTTATATACGAATAATAGCATAGGATTATGTGATAGTCTTGCTACATTGATTTTCAAAATATAATTAATTGTTAATTATCATAATACGATAACATTTTTAAAAGGAAAAAAAATTACTCTTCACTCAATACGATTAACCAGATTTTAATCCAATGATGTATTGAAAAAACAAAAAAACAAAAAAAAAAAACAAAAACAAAACAAAACAAAACAAACGAAAAAGAAAAGGACATTTTAGCGAGCAATTTTAGATTCGCTGACGTATCTGCGTCAAATGCATCGACGAACGCGACTTTTAATTTAGTTTTGGCGTATTCAACGAGCCAACTCAAGCCAATGGGTCAACACCATCCGTATCCAACATTTCGCTAAAATGCAACAAAAGCCTCCTCGACCCACGGTTGCCATACGCGCAATGCAGTCAGGTCAATGTGCAATCGGCCTTAAAAAAATTAAAAAAAAAAAAAACACACACACACACACACACACACGCAAAAACGCATTTTAGAGTCAATATCGAAGCAAGGAGATTCTAAGAATCAAGTAGTGCTATCGTACTTTTAATCGAGCGAAGTACCGTATTCCGGCAATTTACCCATACGCTGGAAAACAATGCCGAAGTATAGACGGCGTTGCTGCAGAAGCCTTTTCCTTTTTCTTCTCGTTTCGCTCTCCCCCACCCTTAACCCCCGCACAACAAGTGGTCGTTCGCTTATTTCTGCTCCTTCCCTTCGCTTCCCGCCCTCTCGACCACTCTCATTCCGTAGCGGTCAATTGCCGTAATTACCTAGGAGCCGTTCAGCAGTCGTCGTCGTCGTCGCCGTCGTCGTCGTCGTAGTCGTCGTCGTAGTCGTCGTCGTAGTCGTCGTCGCAGTCGACGTCCTCGACGTAGTCGTCGGAGTTCAAGGCGTCAAAATACGTTATTGCGTTCACGCAACAGCCGCGGAGATAAGTCGCTTTTGTCGAATTGGTTTCTCATAATAAATCGCTTCCCACGATAAAATTTTTATAACTTCGAGGAACACCGGCTTTTCTCATTGCGCCTTCGCCCGTCACTTGCTTTTATGCATTTTCTTTTTTTCCCGTTGTTGCTTCGGCGAAATGGAAAATCAATCTGTTCGCCATTCGCAACCGCTGTCAAGGTCCGTATTAATTCATGGATTATTTCCATGAAATTACCACCCAACACTTCGACTCTTTTATTTTCCAGTGCTAAGGCTGAAAATATGTTTCTTTTCACTGGCATCTTGACTCGCCAAGCCCACATAAAAGTAACAATTATTGATTGATTCTTGATTCATCGACCGTCGCTATTATCATTTTCTGCCGATATCGAGATTCAATAATGGCCGATTGGCTTAAAGCGGCTGCGTCCGCAATCGCTTCGAATGAATTATATTTATTACTTAATCAATATTGGACGTTTAAATTGTAATTTTGTTAATTTTGTTATTAACTATCAATTTATTGACGCCTAATTAATACTCGCATTTATTGTTTCATTTCTTTTCGATAATTGATACTTTGTATATAAGTCATTGAATCTTCTTAACAACTGCCTATCGATACCAGACAAAACATAATTATAATTAAACTTACTCCTCGTGATGCATATTATTCATTCTAATTGTCAGGCAACGATGAAAAATGTATATTCAACATCATCTATGACGTTATAAATCTATCGGTGACGATTATAAATTTGAATTTTATGACAGAAATGTGGACGACAGAAGGCAAAGTGCTCGTCTCCAGAGTGACCTTTTGGAATGATACTGTGAGCTTACAGCAGCAGCAGCAGCAGCAGCCCAGTCGTCTGCGCAGTAAATTGAATAATTGCAGCAATTAACTCTAATATAGACATAACGTAATATAGTGTAAGCACAAACAAGTTCCTCTGTCATTGTAAATGTCGAATGGAAGAGCTAAGAGTAGCGATAATACAATGTTCGTTGCTATTTACTTATTATAATGACAATAGTTTCTTAATTACATTATTACGATGTTTATTTAAAAATTGTACCTCCGGCTAGATGAAAGCTACCAAGATCATACGAGATTTCACGATGTTTTTGAGAAAACGTATTATCCGAATATGAAGCGCAATTCAATTTTCCAAATGATGAACACAAAGTCGAAACAGTACGAATTATTTGTTTAAACTTTTTAGGAAAATCAATAAATGAAATTAATCTAAACGTAAAAGCATTTGACAAATACGAATCAGGAATCATCGTTTATTAATAATCATCGAAGTAATTGCTTGTCCAAAGTACAATTCTACCTCATCAAAAAATCAATTTATTATCGCAAAGTTATAAGAAAGATAAATATTCACGGATAAATAATAATTTCATTAGGCTTACACGAATTCAATTATCGATTATAATAAAACGAACCAACTATTATGATAAAATATTAAACATTCTTGCTGGAACAAGTATTAAAAAAAAAAATAAATAATAATAATATATATCCAATATAAAAGAAAGAGAAAATAAAGAAGGGGGGGGGGGAGGGAAGTATAAAAAAACTATATACTTGTGAGATAAATTCTATAACTCTATATTATAATTTTCAAAAAATTCTTTGAATAATTAGTTTGTTCATAGTAAGAGATAGTAAGATAAAAGAAACGCACAGTTAGATTAGAAAATGAAAGATCAATGTAGAGATTTTGGAGAAAATGTGGTAAGTATTTATTAGCCAAATAAATTTTCGTCTCAAGCTGTACGTAATAGAAGAATTTAAGATGAAATCAGTTTTAGTGCCATAATATATTGAAGTTAAACATAAATATATTGTTTTCTTTGTTATTTTATCATTATTTTTCTTTTTATGAAGATAGAGAAAAGTAAATTGTAAAAAGTATATCTCGTTTATAAGTACATAAATCTTAAATTCAATTTCGATGAATTAACGTTTATGAAAACGACCTACATTAAAAATATCAAATATTTATCGGTAAAAAATATATAATAATTCACATTTCTTTTAAATATCACGAAGAAGTCCACTTAAGGCACTCAGTGGCACACAATTTCTTTATATCATAAGAGCGACGAGGATGAAAATGCACTAACAGAGGTTACAGCTACTCTAAACTCTTAGCGGCTTCGACTAAGAAGATAAAGAGGGGGCAGATGGTAGGGGGGTAGGGGTAGGGGGTAGGGGGTAGGGGTAGTGTACGCGTCTGCGGGTATTTATTCGTGACTAAGAGATTATTTCAAATTTAAACCTGCCATTGTACAATAAACTTAAGGCTCCATCGATAAATTAAGAGAGCCCATGACGTATAAAGCCTAAAACAGTCTCTCTCTCACCTTACAGTTTTACAGTTGATCATTGAGCAAATAATCCCGACAATGCAAAATGTCGTTTCATTCATCGACATTTTCCCTTTCTTGTCGAAGCCTCGGGGCGCGCTTTAACACGATCTACCATTGAAATCAGAAATGTAACCTCAAAGCATTTGAAATATCGTTGGGCTTTAACTCCATCGCAGCCAAACAAGCACAATGGCTTGACCTTCCGCTCGTTCGGAGTATGCGTGCACAAGTGCAGTGACTGAGATGCAAATTGCCGACGAAATTGTCTTGTCTCAAGGTGACGAGGCCTTTACGCAATTTTCCATGCCGAGACTCGGACAGTAGAGAGATATATGGGGGATGATATCCTGGACAATAAATTGGGCGAACGGATTTTTTTCAACCATCGCTGCGCATCCTCGTCCCACTCAGGCACAAGATCCTTTATCGCCCAGACCCTATGATTTTTCTTTTCTCGACGCTGCTCTTTTCAGATCGCAGATTACGGCGGTAATTTATTCAAGGAACGCAAAGTGATTTATAGATTCATAGATACTCGAAGCCAGATTTTTAACTTACCAATCGGGTATGCCTGTTGGGTGCGTCTTGATAGGATTATTGAACGCCGATTCCGTCGATTTGACTCACCTGAAACATACGGTAGTGATAGATTGGTTGGTCATTATGGATCGATAATTATCTATGGTAATTCAATTATCGCAAAATGCAGATGATAGATGATAATGATAAACCATTATAAGTTAGTGTAAAGCAAAAAAAAAAAAAAAACAAACAGAAAAAAGGAAGAAAAATAGGTGAAAGAATAAGGAGCATCGGCATGGGATATTGCACATGAATGATGTATAGGCCTTTCGAAAATTCTAATATCTCCAGATAATGAATTTGAATTAATAATAATACTAATGGAACATATTAAAAAATATTTTTTATAAAGTTGATTAGAGGCTGAATTATTAATGCAATTTTACGGTCCAAATTCTAGAGATTATTTCTTCGATAAATTAAGGATATTTATTTCGATATATTATTCCGATATAAATATAGTTAGGCCTATTAAATTCTAACCAATATAGAGTTTCAACAGAAATGATTTCACATTCTCGTATACACTGTAATTCTCGATAAATTCAAGGTCAGCCAAACACAGCAACAAAGAGCCCTCTCTCACGGACTTTACAAAAATGCATTTTTTAAGCTTTACTTTTATGACTAGAGCAAGGTTGTATTTATTTTTATGTTTTTCATGCGAATATTCAAGAGAACTAATTCAAAAGAAAATCGTAATTTTCCCATTGATTATTGGATGATGAGTAGTAGATCGAGAGAAATTGAAATATCTTTTAACGCGTTCCTTTGTCTCTATCTTCTCTGTTGGCACAGATATAAATGAAAATTTCAATCGTGGAGGTGAATAAGTAGAGTTGCAGTTTCATAATTTGCATGTAACAGAAATTATTAAATGTAAAATTTTATTACTGACAATTATAGCACGATTAGACATAGTTTTTAATATAAAATTTTCATTATGAAAATCGTTCAAAGTCTATATTAAGGCTCCACTACAATATTTTTTTAACCGCTTTTTTTTTTTGTTTTGATACGAAAATAACTACGCTTGTCTATTGTCTTGGCTGTTATAAAAATACAACAAATTATGCATATAAAATGTATATCATAAAATTGCTAGATAATATTACTGTTAATGCAAGAGGTCGATTATTTATAAAAATAGAAAAAAAAAATATATATATATATGGATCGCTAGAGTATGTTAATGCACTTGGCTATTCAAAAATATTTCATACTTTTTGCATCATTTCCTTTGTCTTTTGTTCTTTTTTTATTTTTAAACATTTTTACCACTTGTTTCGAAAGTTATTTATTGCAGACGTTTAATGCTTGTTGAGAAAAAAAAAATGCGTGTGAAACCAATGTAAATGACGTAATTATTTAGAAATTCGTGTAATATTATATTCGATGATGATGGATAACATGAAAACGAGAAAATTGAATTTTTCATAAAATCCATTCTCACTCTCTCTCTCTCTCTCTCTCTCTCTCTCTCTCTCTCTCTCTCCCTCTCTCTCTCTCTCTCTCTCTCTCTATGTATAATTCTCTATATATTCTTTATTTTTAATTCAATTTAATTTAATGAATTTTATTTACAATACTTATAATAATTTAACAATCGCTAATCATGGGATTCGACAACATAAGTTAAAAGACACATTGTTGTTTGGGAAACGATAGTAGTTCGAAATCGAGTTACGGTACAGCATTACTAAGAGGATAAATTTTCTCCTTAAAGCGGAAATTTTATTTGGAAATGAGGGCTGGTTTACACGCTAATCACTTCACACGAAGATTTAATTATCGCTGCTATTTTCATTAAAATAATCACCAAAGTATGTAACATGTATTAATAAAAGATGGTTTCGTTTTTGTTAAAGGAGGTTGGTTGAGTGATTGTGCACGAGAAGACATAAATATAGATATACTTTCTTCAATTATTTTGAGACGTTAATATACTTTATTATTAAGCAATGCTTGGAACTCGTATTGAAAAAATGTCCTACTCCAAGTACTCGATCTACATGACTCTTTTCATTTTCTCATTGATACTAGTGTTAAGTTTAAACGATTTAAGCCGTGTAATGAAGCATTTTGAGATTTAATGGCTTTATGTACTTTTTCAAGTTGCGATACGGCAAATTGTATGTGGTAGTTTACGACATTCGTTCAGAGGCTTTACTACTTTAATGGTGGAATTCCATTGAAACGCAAAAGTGAAAAGTATAAATATGCCATTGCTCTTATTTACCGAGCAAACAAGTAATAATGCTTTGCTAATGTAATCATCCCCTCCCCCCCCTCCACCCCCAATCGCCACGAGTTGAAATTTCACAAATACTTTGTTATCTATCGGGTTATTTTTGAAGAAACATATCAAGTAGAAATACATCCATTAGACTTCGAGCCGCAAATTCCCTTCAAAGAAATTACTCCTTTACTTTTATTAAAATAGTTTTTTTTTTTTTTTTTTTTTTTTTTTTTTTTATAGTAAATGTATTTTAGCCTAAGCAAATAAATAAAAGAATTTTTTAATACAAAAAGAAAGAGAAAAAGATATTAACAACGAGGGCTGCTCGTAATCATATTTTCATTAATTAAAATACATTTTCAGACAATTAAATGCTGCTCAACAGTATGTCATTAGAAAATACGACGGTCAAATGTACGGTCATTCACATTGGTAACGTAAAACGTTTCACATTAAAATTTTGTCATGACTGTTTTCATAAAGGTAGCAAGTTGAGACTGTAAATTTTTAAAAGATATATAAATTCTATTCTGTTATTCATTGGAAAACGAGGGTAATTAAAATGTTCATAACACATAATTATTATGTTATAAATCAATTAGATTTATTACGGTATTGAGAAATAAATATTTTCTGTGGAAAACTTTTTTTTTTTTTTTTTTGTTTAATTTAAACGATTTATCGAGAACCTGTGAATTCTATTATAATATGCGTCTGCAGAATAAACTTTCATTAACATAAAGTTTCTATAGATTTCACGGAATACAAATAATAATGGGTAGGAAATTAATCTTGGGAAGAGAAAAAGCGCAGTATTTACACAATGTTAATAATCATTTTGATCCTTAGTCTAAAACAAAATTTTACACTAATTCGTCATATATATATATATATATATATATATATATAGATATATATTGTGAGAATTTTGCTTTATTTCCCTATTCAAGTACTCTTTATGAATAGTAGTCACATTTTCTATTTTCAAATGTAAGAGGCTAAGCTGAACAAAAATTGTCAAACTCCGGAGATCCCGAATGCCTGCCACGTTATTCGATATGTCAAGTTGAAATTGTGAATGCATACGATACCCGAGACAACTCTACGAAACTCTACTTCGCGAAATTAGGGCATGTTTCACTAATCCAATATCACACGTTTAAGGCGCACGCGAGAGCGATGACAAATAATCTACGATGAGCGAAAACTAGTTCGCCTTCGTGTAACGCGACTCGCGAGTCGTTTGTGAGATAATTGCACTTCCGATTTTACATTTATAGCGTCTCGAGGACACTTTCGTGGAGTTCTTCATTAGGGCGATTGACACCAATCTGACATGACAATCGATCGACACTGATAATTGGACGTTGGACTCGTCGATAGTTGATATCGCTACTTCTCTTAACAAATTTACATTTACACACAACGTGGTATTATTGTAGAAATTTTTAATATATTAAATTATTGAAGTTTAGTCAGTGATAGTAACAGATGAATAAATTATAATTAGAAAGTGTCGAACTTTTTTCACTTCTCTTCTTTTTTTTTTTTCCTCTTCTCTTCACAACATTATAAAGACAGATTAAATTTGCCGAACTAATGCTAGGCACAATTACCTAGTTTCTTGAATAAGAACCTTTTTCATTCGGTAAGTTATAATACACGGACAGATAGCATTAGCACGGAGATCGAACAAAGTATCATTAGTATTACTTTGGAATTTATGAGATCATTCATCAGAGTCCACGGACACTTGGAATGTTTAAACTCTAAGTATTTGGCAAGATAGAGCATATTAGTTTTTTGAGAAATTATGTTTTCTCGTGCTAAAATACCTCTCTACGCGTATTTAAATATTGTAAATAATATCTATGAGTAAATTACCTCTGCATCGATGAGATTTCGACATTTTTCGACATATATTTAGAAATCGTATTGAGCGCAAAACTCACAGGCTCACGATATTTTAACAAATATTGTAATATTGTTTGATCAATCGCACAGTGTTGCGTAAGACTCGTATTATCCAAGACCCGCGAAGAAAAGATTATCGATGAACGCCGAGCGCAAGGATGTGTTGACTACAGGCAGAAATACAGAATTGGTTCTGTAACAGCAGTTCCTGTGAAAAGCGTGACAGCAATGATTATCCAGCAAAATCTACGTTGTCGTAAAAATGCAGGACAGCCAAGGGAGAGAGGAGGGTGTTGTACAACAGCAAATTCACCTTTCTTCGTCTCCATTTTGACGCTTTTGTTTTTGGAAAAGACTTGACGAGTTCGCGTTAGTTAGCCCGCAGAAATTACACAGCCTTGTGCGTAAAGAGCTTTGTTAAGCGATCGTAAACCTTCGTCTCTACGACTTTAAGCTCTTTGTCGCTAATATGGCGAATGGATATGCTTTTTCACATATTATCTTGTATCCACGCGATCGATGCGCCTCGTTAATTTTGGGCAAACACCCCCCCCCCCAATATCCCCCTCACCCCACACACTCTCCAACGCCCACTCAACATCTCCTATCATAACCTTGCGAGGGTCTCGGTCGTATATCGAACCTCGCCCTCCCCCCTCCCAGCCGCATCGATCGCATTATTTCCCACGTCATCGCGCAAACACAAAATTCCCTTTAAACGCCAACGTTTACAGCCAATTAATTCTCCGGCACCTCGCTCAACTCACTCTAAAACGAGCTGGCGGAAGAAGCAGAGGAAGATTCGACAAGGCTGTATATAACCGCAACGTGTATCTTGCAATAATGGCGCAGCCGGTCCTAAACGAGGTCGTCCAGCCGAGAGGAGAACCAC